AAAGTTTGAAGAGATTTAGAGCAGTAATGCACCTGCTACTAAGTAGCAGGTTAGTAGCAACTTGCATCAAAAGCTACTAGAGTTGGAAACGCGATGAGGGAGTGTCCTAGAAAGCAATGAGGCAAGTGAAGAAATCTTTGCCTACCTCGATAATAACATTAATTCTTTTCAATGATAAAGAGTATAAAAAGACTCTCACCCAGACTTTCCAGGAATACCATGATGCCTTTTGCTTTGTCAGCTCAGGAGATGCCAGAAGTTTCCATAGATGTGGCTTGTCATTGCCTCATCATCAACCCTTCCACCTGACAGAAAAAGCATAAATTGATGTAAGGGGCTTTGTCCTGGCCAAGTCAATCAAGGAAGATGTTCAAAAGTTGTTGGATGCAAGATACCTAAGCGGCAAGAGTACAAAAAGTTAATATTATTTTTTAATGATGAGTAAAATGACAAGAGTACAACCCTTCAATCAAGTAAGAAAATGACAAGAGTAAAACCCTCACAGTAAAAAACATATGCTTTTATAGGGGGCAAAAAAGTGGCAATCGCCTAATATGTAGAATAGTAAAAATAGAAAAATACATATAATTAAAATCAATGGAGTATAACCGGCATCACATCACAAATCAAAAAACATAGAAGTAGATTCAGTATTTTTTTTAAAGAAATTTTTTTAATGGAATGGTCAAAGGCTATTATACGAGCCTCCAGTTACTCATAATGTGTCTAACAATTCGAGTATCACCCTCCTTAAGGCTCACGTCGCCAGAGGGGGGTTCGAACCCCGACCTGCGGGATCTTACACCAAGGATACCAACCAACAGGCCGAGGTATGCGACACAAAGAACTTATCATTACAAACGTCGGTGAATCAACTGCAAGAAAGAAAAAAATTATACAAGAACCTGACATGGCCTCAGCTCAGAAGTAGCCCAATCGGAGGAGCCTCCTCAACACAAATAATCCATCGGATCTAATTTGTCACAGCCTGTCCAAATTGATAGGGGCCTGAATAACCAAAAATTTATCCCGCAAGTTCATGAGATCCCACTGCAAGAAGGCCTATGATCGTCTCCACAACTCAATCTCGCGTTCCAGGATGGCTAACCTAGCCATATAGTCGGCCAAATATGTAGGAATCAAGATATTCCCACACGAAAGGGTGTTGTCATCAAAAAGCCGGTCAACTCGCAATATGTCACGAGTCAATTGTCTTGCCCGTCCTCCGGTTGATGTTGCCCGTGATGGCGACTTGATCATCCCTAACTCCCCGCTCATAACTCCCAATGCCTCCACTCACCACCAGAAAGCTTGTTCGGGTTCAGAAAAGAAAGGTCATTTGGTCCATAGCCTGAAAAAATAAAACACATGTAATGACCCTCATTAGGTAAATATCAACCATCATGAACGGATGTCGTCCTTACCCATCGCCTGCATAAGCTCAAACACGTCTAAGAAAGGAGCAGATGAATCATCGCCTCAAAACACTTGAGCTGCCTGCATGCCCTATTGTGACATCCCATCAGAAGTCGGCACACCAGACTGTCCTCCTAACCCAAGAACAGCGGCGACTGAATCTGTTTTGGGAATTGTGGTACCCTCTCTAGCTACAGTAGTAGTCAACATTTTTGAAACGTAGGAAGCATCCTCTGGGGCCTCACAGGGAAACCCCGAACAACCGACTAATGGATTAGCATTATCAGATGTCCGATCGGTGTCGTCGAGGACCGTAGGGGAGGATCCCTGTTGAGCTGGTGGAGGATCAACACCATCAAGGGGATTCACAACACCATACAAGACCGCTTGACGAGATCTCTGTTAGTCCGTCGACGGAGCATCCATCTTATGCTTTAATCTACTACCTCATGCAGGCTTACCAAACAATCCCCATGGACATTAGCTTGGGTTCAAATAAGCTTCTCCATCAGTCAAAATTTCTGGTAAGGAGAACAAAGTCAAACGTATGAATTAGAACTCAATGAAATTATACATAGGTGCACGAGTCTCCAAACTCAACTCAATATTTAAAGCTTTAAATATTTACGGTTGATCTAAGAAACAATTATTGAATCTATTAATTTTCACGCTCTTATCGCAACAAGACCTCCTAAATCTAAGAAACAATTATTGAATCTATTAATTTTCACGACCTCCTAAGGTTCGAGAAAACTAGAGAAATTAAATATGTACATAAGAAAATGTACACTCCCAAACAGTAATGAGACCAACAGACCTGGTTAAATAAAGATGGTCGACCAAAAGGCTTCTTTAGGCACTCCAGGGATAGTTGTAAGCAGGCTTCAGTGGATGATCGTCGGGCGTTGAAGAGTCAAAAAAGTGTAATAGGTCGTGGGGGCCCAAGGCCAAGAAACTACGGCCAATGTAGGGGAGGTTGATGTAAACGTCACTTACCAAGCCGGCCATCATATCATAAGTTCAAAAATGTCAAGTGCATAGGGGCATGCACTTGATATTGCACAGTCGACCCTCAGACTTGTGATCAGACATCTCAAAATAGAGAAAGAATGACCCCGAAGGGTGTTCTTTTGTGTGTGTTATTTGAATCTGGGTTCAACAAAATATGTATAAAGCATTTGTGTTAAGTTGGCAACTTTTGAAATAAAATTATGTATATATTCTACACATTGTTTTCTAGAATAATTTCATTCCATAAGTAAATATGTATCTGTTAGGTTTAATTTAACTAATTTTGGACTCAGCTAGTTATGCAATACAAACATTTATTTGATTTTATTCCAGTTCTATCGTTAGTATTGCATGTTTTATTTAATTTGTTGAAAACCTTTTAATGATGCTGTTTAATTTAACTATTAAAAAGGATATTATATGCATATATAGCTTGTACATCGGATATAAAAGTTGTGGCCTTTTAATAAGCAAGTGACATTTATTATTGACAAGTGTACAATCTACACCTTATCATTTTAAATTAATTTCAATTCTTAAGCATATTTGTTTCCGTTAGACTTGATTTTACAAACTTTAGGCTACATTAGTAATGCGATATGAACCTTCTATTTTGATTTTATTCCAGTTTCATCATTGAAATTGCATGTTTCATTTTATCAGTTGAAAAATTTTTAACAGTTGCTCTTTAACCGCTAAAGTGGATATTATACACATGCGCATCGTTCTTAATTAACATAAGCGTAACGGTTCTACTTATTCTTGGAGGAGAAAATGAGTTGACGGAAGAAGAAATGAAGAAGCCAGGAAGAGGAAAAAATGAGTCGGGCAGCCAATCAGAAAGGAGATGTGATAGGGTCAGGAAGCCAAACAGACGAGTTCACCTATAAATTAATGCGAGATGCGGGTGCTATAGGTTGTGCGATCAAAGAGTAGAGGAAAGAAGGAATGAGAGGTGTTGAGAGAGCTTGTGTTACTTGAGGATACAACGTAGTGAGAGAAGAAGAGAATTGTAGCATTTCTGCGCTGAGCCGTGACGTCTCAGTCGAACAAGGAGGAAGAAGAGGGAGGCAGCAACGTCGTGTGGTTGCTTTGCCGTGTTGAGAAATGGGATTATGTAAAGTAAAATAATGATAATATTTAGTCAATTAAATAAATTTAAATTATTAAATTAATTTTTAATATAAATACCATGTTCATTTTAGGTTTCCATTTTAGAAGAGTTGACGTCAAGGCAAAAGCTCATTGAATTAAACTTCATCAAGGTGAGTACTCTTACTTCTAAATTAGGTGATGATTTTGTATTTCTTCTAAATCACTCGTATTAGTCAAGATATCTTGTGACTACAACTAAAATATGATTATTATGGCTTATTATTCAATCTGATCTAGAAATGAATGTGAATGATTTGCAAAGTCATACTTATTGACTACACATATATGTTATAAAAGAAATATATTGGATGATATTTAGAATGTAAATGAAAAAATTTATAGTATGCATGCATCTGTATGCTTGGCTATGATGGAACACCACTTAATGGTACTAGTGGGAGAACACTAATAAACACGTGTGTAATAGTATGCATGCATCTGTATGCTTGGCTATGATGGAGCACCACTTAATGTTACTAGTGGGAGAACACTAATATACACATGTGTGTAAATGAAAAAAGATATTGATCTTAATGTGTCTTAATTGACACAAATTTTTAGATGATGTCTCATGTAATGGTTGTAGAGATATTAAATGGTATTGATATGATATTGATATAGACACTTTGAATGTCAAATATTTATATTGATTTATAAAGAAGCTTAACTCACATGCATATTGCTCTTTTACAATGTATTATTGTAGCGTAGACGTATGAGCATTCATTATTTTTGCTTAGCTCACTATTGTTCTAACTAATTTTTCATGTTAAATTAAATTATTAAAAAATAAGCGATTGACGAGAAAATATTTATAGGCGACAAAGACAACCAGTAACGAGGTAATTTTAAATGGTATCGTTTTAATTTAATTTATAGTGGTTCTTTAATCTGTTAAATTATAAGTTAATATAGAAAATTTAATTCACACTGTCCGATCATCCGTTCCCACCTTGCTTAATTCCAAGTCTCAGACCGGATCGTGACAAAAGACAAAAAAGTGTTACTTTATTTTGCGCCAAGTACATTGCAAAAAGGCTCCTATGCATTTCATATAGTGTTTTGCAATTTGAAAATGCTATTAACAACAAGGAAAATTTACATGCTAGCACGCAGTTCTTATGTATTTACATACCTCGCACCAAAGCTTTCATATTTGCTTACATGGAACTTTAAAACGGTGCATTTCACTTTGAGAATGTGATAATAATGTTACATTTGATGTGATTTTGAAGAGATGAGTGCTATGTGTGTAACTATGCAATTTTAGGTGGGATATGTAAATACATTAGAATTGTGTGCTATGTCTGTAATTTACCCTAAAAACAAATTATAAAAAATCAAAATGTAAATTTTGAGCATCTAATTTGCGTACCAACAAAGAGCAATTATCAAATAAAAAAAGTGTCTGATCTTACTCTGAACTTATGCAATATAGCGCATTCACCAAAACATCTAAAAGCAATGGCTCATCTGTTCCAATGTCTACCCTGTCAGAACATGAGCCCACATGTTAAAATCTTGGGGCATTTACATACATACCACCTAATTCCTTTGTATTTACACATCTAACACCTAAACTTAACTTTTTACATTTATACCACCCAAAACTTTCATATCATTTAAAAGATAACAACGTTTTAACTTTTAAAAAGTGAAGCACACCTTTTCATGCATGGAAAAGATGGCATTAGATATGTAAATAAATAGGAATTGAGTGGTATGTGTGCAAGTCTTCCTAAAATCTAAAGGTCAAAGTTTAAGAGCTAAAAGGAATTACAGTTAGTGCATAAGAAAGGTAGCTACCAGAAGCGTGCTAGGTTATCTTGTAATTCAAGGTCGCCAATGTTGTAAAATGTAGTTGGAGTCACATTTGCTCCCATAATAGCATCATATCTTGGTCTTTTATTGTCCATGGTAGACTGAGATAACTGACTAGATCAAAAGAGAGCAATTTTTAAGGATAAACAGACAAATATACAGAGAGAGCATGGTTCATGATGAAAAACGCAGTAATTCCTACATGTAAAATCTCAGAGTTAGCAATTTATCAGTTAATCAATACATTACACAAGAAAATTAAACAAAGTCCTAAAAGGAATAGTCCAAGATAATAATACATCTCCAAATCAGAAGCTGAGAAAAACAAGGATGTGCCTTTTACAGCAATATCAGCACACCAAAGCAACTGCAACAGCAAAAGTAAACTTCCAAAAAAAGTGAATGAAAAGAGGAAAAAACAATATGTACTGAATAAAGAATATCCAAATAACTATAACATTAGTTTTCATTAGGGATGAAAGGATTAGATTTTTGTAGTTTCACCGTCTTGTTTTGATTGGTGATGTTTTTTTTTTTTTTTTGTGGTGTTTGTTTTTATTTGTTTGTGTCTCAATTGGTTTTGTTGTGCTTTGTTTATTTGTTTGTTTGTTGTGGGTTATTTTGATTGTTTTTTCTTGTAGAGATTGTTATGATTGATTGATTTTGAATATAACATTTTAATTTTAAAATAAATGAAACCAAACGAGTCTCACATATTAAATAGTTTAGACGGTTGAGCGCGATACCACAAGTAATATACTATCCTGAAGGATAAGCATACCACTTGACAGTAGGCTTAACCACTTAAACTAAGAAGTTTGTAACATCCGTTTGGTCTGCAAAAATCTTTTATGTATGGCCGGCAAGTTCTCCTATCTAATATAAGAATTAGATAATGTTTATTTTACCTGGGTTTCAAGTTCCCTATAGAAGCAAACACTTATAGTTAATTATATCTTCAATGACCGCTGCCACTTAAGAAGACTCTCGATTAAGATCGGTGGTTTTACTTTCAAGATTTCAAAGTTTAGATTTCCAAGATTGGACACGATAAAATCAAACGAGAGTGACTCAAATAAGAACAGTTATTTTAAGGAATCCAAAGGAATGAATAGTAGGGGATATCACAGATCCAGAGGGAACCCTGATGATTTACCAACTATCCTATTGTTTGGCTTTATGTCTTTGAAATAATGTTATTCAATGTTTAATCCTGCAATTTCTTGTTAGAATTTAAGACTTACATTTGCAAGATATCTGATCGTGCAAATAGCCTAGAAAGATAAGAAGATTTACACTGTATCGGACAGTAACCTCGAAATCCTAAAATTGTTAGGACTTATAATTGCACAACAAAGTCATGCAAAAGTCTAAAGATAAGGTGAGGATTTACGTTGCGTTAAACAAACCACCTCGAAATCCTATAACTTGTTATTTAAACTAAGGAAAATGTTTAGTTGACATGAACTTGTTTTGACATTACAGATCCACCTTGAAGTTGTTCTTCTGTGTGTCCTCGTCGTGTTGCCTCCGGTGATTGCTCCAAACTCCCCGTCGTAGCATCTTCGGATTCGACGTTAATTTTAAAGGTTATATGCAATTGTTTAGTCAACGTTCTGATGTCGGGTACCTCCTATGAAACAAACTACTAGCCTCCTATTCTAAGATATAGTGTGTAAAAGTAGCAGTAGCAAGTAAAAGTATAGTAACAGAATTTTAAGAAATGAACTAGCATGAATTGCATCAACAAAAGAAATACCACTTAAAAAACTCAAAAAAGAGCGACAAATGACCCATGATAAAAAAAAACTCGAGAAAATCGCCAAATGACTCACGACTATAGGCACTTATGTGCCAGACATAAGCACCAAAAACCGAACCAAGAAGCAAGGAAAAAAAAATAAAAATGGGGATGAGAGAGAGGAGGAACTGATCCACCCAAAAGATCGAAAAGACGAAGGGTGAATCAACCCTCAAAACTTGTAACGAAAAGATTTGAAAAGGAGGGCCCAAGGTCCTTGAATCAATCCAAGAAATATATCATTTTCTCAAATTTTATAAATGGATCAACCCAATAAGAGAATCTCTTCCAAATCTTGTTTCAAACAGGTCGAAACGAGCTCGAATCAATGTGACAATTGTATACACGGCTCCACCATCACTTGCATCATCACTTACATAATCACACGACATAATCACACGCCCAAGCCTGAACTCAAATGTGACATTTATGTTATCCAAACCTTAATGTCAAACTTCCAAAATAAAAAAAAAACTTTTTCGTGAATGACAATTTTATGAGCTTTCAAATCCTTCATGAATCTGATTCATATCAACATTATGCTTCCTCAAAATGAAATTGTAAGAGTCTTTCATATTTCACAAAATAAAGGAAAATAATTCATAGAGGGCGGCAACCTTCTAAACTTTCAAAAATCATGCCAATATCAAAACCATTCAATTCCAACCCTCATTAAAATCTTCTCACATTAGATAAGTGCAACATCAATTTAAAGAATATATAAGAGCTCATGGTTAGGGCAAATCAAGAGGGCAAAATGAGTCCGAATAAAACTTCAACAGGCTCATGGGTAAGGATAAGAAAGAAGACAGGGGGCTCACGAGTAAGGCCAAGAAAAGGCACAACCAAAACCACATAACAAGCCCACGAGTAGAGACCAAAAAAAGCACAACTAAACCCCCAATATAAGCAATATAAGCTCACGAGCTCACGAGTAGGGGCAGCAAGGGAAAGCCACCACATATATTGTTATTATGCTCTTTTGATATACATAAGAGAATGATTGGACAAGCTCTTATAAATCATCCGAACTGAAATCATTTTCATCAAATAAGACATGATAGTGAGTTGGTCTGCTTATATCTAGCATTCCCACATAGAAACACATATTGAAATCATAATTCTTTTTTGAGAGACAAACTTGGTTATCAACAACAATCTCAGGAGGAACGTTATCCAGAGAATCTCCAACCAAACCGAGCCCAACAAGAGGGGCAAACAGAATGACACGTTAGGCAAACCGAGCCTAGCAAGAAGAGCAAACAGCATAACAGCTCAGGAAAACCGAGCCCAGCAAGAAGGATAAAGCAGAGAGCCGTAAAAGGTAAACCGAGCCCAGCAGGAAAGAGCACCAGAAAAAAAACCATGACAGACAAACCAGGCCCAGCAGGAGGGGCAATATAAATAGTCATAACAGGTACACCCGAGCCCAATCAAAGGGGCAAAACAAATAACCATAACAGGTAAACCCGAGCCCAACAGAGGGGCAAAACAAATAGAGTTCCAGCCAAAAAAAAAAACAAGTCCAACAAATGGAACAAAATGAATAAAATTCAACCAAAACCGAGCCACCAAATGGGGAAAACAGAGCAAAATTTTCAGCTAACATTTAATCCCATAAGAAGCCAAAACCGAGCCCACCAAATGGGTCAAAACAGGGCAGAATTTCCAGCATTTATTTGGACAGGAATAACAATAATAAAAAGCATCAATATTTCATTTTCAGCATGAATTCTAGATGAGCAAATATCATTTCAGAGTTCATAACTGTGGCTTCCCAAAATATTTCGAGCAGAAAAGAAACGCAAGCAATCCTTTCACCTAAAATTACTCTTCCTTTAACAATAAATTGATTCAGCAAGGAGAAAAGAAAAAAGACTACAGCTTTCAGCATACATGTATAGAAATGATAGAAGCTTAAGAAGAATATTTGCATGTGACAATGGATCAAAACATGCTTTCCCTAAACTGTTATTTCAACTAATCAGCATAGAACTTCTAAATCAGATCCAATCAAAATATTAAAGGCCCAATACTTGATATCAATGTCATTACGAAATACAAGTTAAGACAAAACAAAGTCTCATGTACGCACTCTCTATTTTAACATCTCCAATATGTGTCGAGTAGGGAAACAGAACAGAGAAAGGAAGAAGTACCTTGCTCGAGATTTCCTAAAAGAAAACAACAGAAAAAAGGCCACCAAGCTTCCAAACACCCAACACACAAGGACCTAGCCGAGAAGGAACTTCGGCAGAGCCTTCTTCTCCTAAAAGCCTCGAACAGCAACTAGCGAAAACCTCAGCCTTCCTTTCTCTCAAAAAAATTTCAACAACCCAGAAAAGTACCTTAAGAAGCATTTTTATAGGCAGAAATGAGAGGGGGACAGTCATATTTACCACAGCTTTGTGATCGAATCAAACGACAGGGAATGAATCATCACAATAAAGAAGGAGAAGGTAAAACCTCAAGAAGGAGAAGGGTTGGATGTGATTGGAGAGTCGAAAGGTCGAGCGGTCACGCGAGGAAGGAGAAGAGTCGAGAGAAGAGAGGCGGCCGCGTGGATCGTCCAAGGAAGCTAGAACACACAGAGAGAGCGAGCCAAACACCTGATCGAGCCGCGGAGGTCAAATGAAAGTTAAGTGTGTGGGAAAGGGGGTAAATAGGGTATAGGATTAAAATTAATATTATAAGCAATACTATAAATATAAAACTATTTAATATTTCAAAAATAAAAATTTGATTTGTACATTTTTATTTGTGTTTCAAAAATAAAAATTTGATTTGTACATTTTTATTTGGGCGTCATAGGCGTCATAGCATAACAAAATAGATGTCCTTTTTAGGTAATTCTAACGTTCTGGACGCGTTGGTGTGGTCCGTTTCTACGTCGGAGTTCGTTTTGATGAATTCATCGATTTGCATGCAATTTGCTTGTGTGCGAAATTATGGCAATATGAGTGTCTTTCCTAGCTACAATTGATGTCCGCGGAATTATGGCAATATGGGTGTCTTTCCTAGCTACAATTGATGTCCCGGACGCGTTGGCGTAGTCCATTTCGTCATCGGAGGTTGTCCGGAGAAGTTCGCATCTTCACCCATCCTTTAAGCTCAATTTTAGTCCGATCTTGTCCAACTTAGTGAATTTTGTGCATTTTGTGTGTGTGTGTATGATGATAAAATCCTGAAGAGATTTTCCTAGGACTTGAGATCCTATAGGAACTTCTCCTTGAGTCTCCACATGATAGTCATTAACCACGACGATCGTTTTGAGATCATCAATGCGAGACATCACAAGAGAAATAGGAAGTGACTCGAATTTATAAGGGGATGAATTGCAATACTAGTTTTTTAAGATAGTCAATAGGAACCCCTAGAGCTAAATCCTAGGATCCTAAGAAAAAAAATAATGACCTCAAAATGAGGTCAACAATAAACAAGTAAATTTGATCCACAAACTCTTTTAGTATGGGTTAACATAGTCCCTATTAAGAATTATTTTAGCCCCTATTAAAATAATGTGAGGACAAATTTAGCATATTTATCAACTCAGAATAAAATGGTCTCGTGTAAATAATTCAGAAAACTAGTTTGACATTTTATTCAATTACAACACAAACTAGAAACCTGAAAACAAAACAGCTAGAGCAACACAAACTCATAATGGTCATCTCAACGCTTAGTTTATGTGCTTCTGAAGAGTATAATTTTTCAAATTTCCATCACTTGCACAAAATTGAAAAACGAGAGTAATTAGTAATGAAGGTGATCACACTAGACAACCTTCGAGGTCAGCTCATTTCTTAATTCGGTACATCTTTATGACCTTAAAATTTTGATACATTTCATTGTTGGTTTGTGCTAATGAAATTATTCTGTCATTGAAGCTCATGATACTTTATTTTGTCAAGATATTTCAGACATTTTTTTATTAATTTAGGCAGTTTTTTAAATAAAAATTACACCGTAAATCAATATCCTTATGTGATTATTGATTGATGAATATTCTCCGTCATGGTTGTGATGTATTTGAACAAGGGTTGGGCTTGAAATTCTTCCAAGATATCAATCTTCAAACGCAAGATTTCTATGTATATACGTATCTAACATCTATAACCTTATTTTTTTACACTTACACCATCTAAATAGGTTATATCATAGTAAAAATACCATTATTTTAACTTTTAATGGTAAAATACACCTTATTGTGCATGTTGGGTGGCATAAATCTAGAAATTAAAGTTTGAGCTTTAGGAATGTAAATAAATAAGAATTGGGTGGCATGTGTGTAAATTTTCAATAATTTAAATGCTCCAAACACATCCCAGTCACATAATACATAGCAACATCAGAATCCGGAATGTCTTGATATCAAAGTTTCCATCCTTGACTAGGAATGATCCTGCAATAAAAACTTTTGATACGGTAATACAAGTTATCTAACAACAGCTTGGCATACTCTGAGAAAATTTTGACAGTTCAATGCTTTATAATGTTAAATTTCCACGATTTCATTTTTATGTTAATTTTTAAAGATTTACTAACAAAAAGTGATTTCAAATTTGATATATTCAGGTAACGAGCAATACCTGCATGTTCATGGGATTGCAGCCCCCAAGGCGGCCAATGATGTACCATGCTCGAATTGTCTGACCAAAAAAAGAAGTCGCCAGTCATTTGAAATATTGCTAATTTTTTAAATGATTCCAAAAGCATAAAAAAAACAATGTTGCACTCACATCACACAACAATGTCACATCTTGCGGCAATGGAGCATTGTAGAATTCAAACCAAATAAAGGAGTTCGAAAAATCAAATCTGATAAAAGCCAAAAAAAAGGGGCGGTTAAGGATAAGCTACGTTATTTAACAAGCAGCAACAGTATACTAAAAGAAACTTGTGAAGAGAATAAAAATAGTTATAATGCTAGAATACAACTCTCATTGACAATGCAACATGCAACAACAACAACAAGCCTTAGTGGTGTATGTAAAGGCTTGTTGTTGTTGCATGTTGCATTGTCAATGGGAGTTGTATTATTATTTCTTTCCTATTTGCATTTATTCCCTCACTATATATTTTCAATGTATTTTATTATGCTTTTATGTCTTTCCTACTAGCTTTAGTTTATTTTATTTCTTTTCTTTGTTATGTCTATTGAAATTGGGTTTAAATATTCCTCCTTTTAACAATGAAATTATGTCAGCCGCTACTATATTCCAAATCTCTACATAGTATCACAGCCTAACCATAGATCCAGCAACAGTCGGCATCCTCCGCTGGTTCCAGCAGCCACCAACTAGCCGTCGGCCTCCTCTGCTTGTTCTGGTAGCCTGTGGTTTCCTCTTCAAATTTTCTACTACACTTTTTTTCTGGTCCTGCAGAGACCGCTACAGTTTTCCTAGTTCTATAGCCACACGTTTCCTTCTGTTTCCAGCAATAGCCATTTCAATTTCCAATCACAGCAACCACAGTCGTTTTTCCCTGTAGTTCCCTGCAGTCGTCTTATGTTTCCAACACCAGCCGTTTTTTTCGGTTCTGCAACCACAAGTTCTACCTGTGAGGTTTCCTTTATAGTTCCCTATAGGTATCCAAATTTCTAATGTTGTATCCATCTATCGTGATTGGAATTTATCAATGGCTCGGAATCCGTTTTTTTCGGTTCTGCAACCACAAGTTCTACCTGTGAGGTTTCCTTTATAGTTCCCTATAGGTATCCAAATTTTTAATGTTGTATCCATCTATCGTGATTGGAATTCATCAATGGCTCGGAATCACAACAACATCTCCTTTGCTCTGTCGGAATATGAAGAATTCCTCCAACACTGAATCACCTTCAAAAGGTGTTCTTGATTCCACCAAAGGAACAACTCCGACTGATGCTCCCTTGCAGATCGGAGGACTGGAAGCCAACAATTTCTTGATCACAACCCATAAGTTGAACGACATTAACTTTTTTCCAATGGTCCCAAGTAGTGTCCTTGTTCATCAAAGAACAAGAAAAGTTTGGTTACCTCACAAGTATGATTCATGAGCCTCCAAAGACTGACCCAGCATATGGAGCTTGGGAAGTAGATGACTCCATAGTTAAGTTGTGGTTGATCAACTATATGGAGACGTCGATTGATCGTTCATACATGTTCCTCCGTTCACTTAGTGCCCTTTGGACTGTTATCCGTGATACCTACTCGGATGTAAGAAATTTCGGCAAACTCTATGAAGTATCTAAAAAAATTCCGAAAGCAAAACTTCGATCTCTTATTGCTTGATTTATTTTATGACAAACTGTTGGTAACCTTGTTTTATAAAAAGAAGTAACATCTTAGATCTCTTATTATTGTGGATTGCAATTACAGTTTTCTTTCTTTGTGCAACAAAGTTACTTTATTTAGCCTTAATTTCTTGAAGTTTATTGTAAAGTTGATGATTAACTACAAGGGATGAAGAATATAAAAGAGATCAATAACTCTATCAAATAGGAAGAGTGAATATATGAATGGTGGAAGCATAATATTAAATAAGAAGATTTACATGCATGCCACTCAATTCATATGTATTTCCATATTAACACCTAAACTTCAATTTTGACATATAGAACACCTTACCTATGCACGAAAAAGTGTTTTTCCTTTTTTAAAGTTAAAATAGTAGGGGATTTTTGGAGTAGGGGATTTTTGGTTGCAAGGGAGGATTTAGTAAATTCTGTAAATCTGGTTTTATGAAATCCTAAAGTGGTTAAATCCTGAAAATTGTATGGTATGTTAATACATAAATCCATATAAATCAAGAGAAATGTTTCTCAACTTTAGTAGGAATTAATAGGATTTATCTTTCCCCATGCTTTAGCTTCTCTAAATCCCTTAAATGCTTGTTCCAACTAGATTTACTAAATCCCGGATTTAAGGCCAAACCGATCAAAAATAGGATTTTGGAACCTGTAGGATTTACATATGCCTTTTTCAGATCCTGTATAAATCCTGCTTAAAACCAGCTACCAGACAGGGCAGTAGTGTTTTTCATTTTTCTTTTAAGTTAAAATAGTGGAATTTTTTATGTGAAACGAAATATTTGGTGGTATAAATGAAAAAAGTTTAAGTTCAGGTGTTATATATGTTAATGCATAAGAATTGGGTGATATGTATGTTTAGGCTTGGTGTGAGCGTACTTTCTGAATGAAACTTTCATTGATGTTGCAGACCCAGTCTTGGTATGCAATATCTTGTTTCTCTTCCTCCTTATCCTTTCCTCCACCTTCAATTACGCAACTATAGTCAATCAAAAGAACTAAATCCTAGCATAATACAAACCATTTCAAATATTAATAACCAGAATTTAACAGAAGAGTATGCAAATAAGAAAAAGAACCTTAGATTGCGCCTTCTTGGGGTCATCGAAGCAGCTACCGAGTATATCCGCGATCTCGGGATCTCGATCGTAATCTTTCTCGTCCCGTCTGGCTCGATAAGCGCTGGCATGAGAAAACTCTTCCTCAACCGCTTTGTAATCCTCCTCGTCATCTTGATCTTCGTGACCACTCGAGAAATCTTCCTCTTCTCCTTTCTCGAGCTGACCTTCAACGTCTGCTTCGATTTCCTCGACTTTATCTATGGCCTTACCGTGATTTTGAGCTCGCGCGCCGCCGCTGAGGGGATGGATTCGAACCCTAAATGTAGGAGTGGGAGGAAAGAGATTGAGCTGTGGAGTATATGAAATAATTTTCACAGCTTTGTTGGGAGGAATGGAGGTTTTCCAACGGAGGAATCGCGAAGGCGCGAATTGGATGAGCATTGCCTCCACCATTGTTGGGGTTTTGCAGTGATTTTAGCTACTTTTGGTAAAGCAGGCTAAAAATCCCGCCGAACAGTATGGTATTTATAATTAGATTTATGAAATTCAGTCGGTCAAAAAATTCTTTTACTTAATTTTGATTTAATTTATCGGATTAAAAAAAATTCCAAATCATTGAGTAGTTAATAGCTACCATAACATCCACCTAAATTTAAATTTATTAAATAACAAAAGAGTGCATTTAGCTTATTTATATTTTATGAATTTATTAAATTTAATTTGAAGTGAATCACCCTCTAAACATAGAGAGAATATTTTGGTCAGACAGACACCGCACAACCGGACTGCTAACTACAAAGCGTCATGTCGCTCACATCACATCGGTAGACGACGTGACACTCAGCGGTTCGCTGTCCGAACGATTTTATGATTTCTTTTTTTTTTTTAATTTGATATAATTTAATCTAATACCTTTGTTGAATCTATAACTCAGAAACTTTTTTTGTTGAAAAACTGAGCTTTCAATAAATAAGTAAATGTGAATTGCATCATTTATTATTTCTTAAACCCCAATTGTAGGTTTTACTAAATGAAAAAAAATTCAGATTTATTAAATTATAATAGAGTTAAAATCCAAAAATTATTATGAACGATTTTAAATCTCATTGAATTTTTAAAATTTATTTGACTTATAATAGAGTTAAAATCCAAAAATTATTATGAACTATTTTAAATCTCATTGAATTTTTAAAATTTATTTCATAACTTCAATTTATTTGTTCCAAT